ATTCCTGATGCGAATAACTCGCAAATATTGGTATGAAAATATTCCACCAATATTTTGAAGACAACATAGCTACATAATGATTTTCAATAATGTACCAATATTTCCAACCAATATTGCACCAGTATCGTCAAATGTTCATGCACTGTCCATTTATCAGCAATATTGATATCACATTTTGTGACCAATATAACTTCACGAATATTCCAGCAGTATTGGTATGAGAATATTCTACCAATATTTCTGAGACAACATACCTTATTCATGATGATTTTCAATGATTCACCGATATTTCCATATATTACACCAATATTGCCGAATGTTCACCATTAATTTCTCGCCAATATTTATATTACATTTTGTGTCCGATATAACTCTACGAATATTCAACCAATATTGATATGAGAATATTCTAACCACATTTGGAAACTGATATTGTACCAATATCGCCGAATGTTCACATTTTTTTTCTCGCCAATATTACTTTCACAATATTTTGACGATATTTTCGTAATATTGCACCGATATTGTCCCAATATATGTGTGCTACTTGGGAAGAGCGCTGACACCGTCCAACCGCGACATGATCTCTGCGAAGACGACTGTACAATAGTGTTACCTGATGACTTCCGCTGGATCGAAACAAATTTTTTCCTCGTTGAAGAGTTGGGACACCCTGATGTATTTCGACTCTCCCCAATTTTATAGTGTAGTTGTAGGAACAAGAAGAACAAAAATTATTAGGTTCATTCTTCATTTCAATTGAATACTTAATAATTGAAAAACAATACTCCCCATACATCACGGGTATGAAGATATAAATGACGTTTTCAATATCCCCAGACAGCACCAGATATTCCATGAATCTCCCTATCATATTCCTTTTGGAATATTGGAATATTCTAGAAATAATCTGGAATATTCCGGAATATCTGTGGAATATTCTCTAAATATGCGAATGGGAATTCCTCAGATAATCATAGAATATACCCAAAAGAATATTATATGTTGAATGTTCCTGGAATATTCCAATAAACATATTCTAAAATAAAAAAAGTGACCCAAGTAGGGATCGAACTCGTGACCTCAAGACTATCACATTAAAGTTGTTTATTGTCTTCTACATTTAGTTTACAACACATAATTACATCCACATTGTATATATAAAGATATCCTATGTACAATTTAAAAACTGTATAAATAAAAATCCTCCGACAAAGCAGAGGTGGCTGGTGTTGGCCAAGGAATGTGGGTGCACATGCGAAGTGTTCGTCGCAGAAGCCTATCTCCTAGGGCTGAGCCCTTTATATAGGTAATTTCACTGAGGTTACCCAATGGGTGGGGGAGCCGTTCAAACGCTATCAGTGGTCGGAGTTGTGTTTTGTATGGAGGAAAATTAAAATTTGAAAACAAAAACCTCCTTCTCGTTCAGCTCGGCTTCGTTCAGCACGCGGGTGCGGGAGCGCAAACACACCCCGCCGAGTTCAGTGTCATTCCGCTACACTGCGTGCAGCAGGGACACTATTTTGTTTTCACTTCCTGGGAAATAGAGATGACTGGATTCTCCTCGGAGTCTCGGACGAGTCCGAAACTCCGTGGAGATTCCCATCTATAGGTTTCCAGGTTCTCTAAAAACATCGGTTGATGCATATATCAGTCCGTGTTTTTTGTGTATGTTGTGATGGTGTCGTGTTTGTGTTATATTCCGAGTAAGGTCACTTCCAGCGATGTGGTATTTGTAAAACTTGTTTGATATTTTGTTTATATATTCTGCGATTCTCGGCAAATTACCACATCTCTCGTGGAGATCTGCCACACGAGAGTATCTATCACCATTTGTGATAATACGGAGTACCTTGTTCTGCAGCACCTGCAGTCTGCTCATTTGAGTAGGTGGAATGCTGCAGAACACCGGGCACGCGTATGTCATCACAGGCCTAATTATCTGCTTATATACCAGGACTTTATTCTCCACTGATAGTGGAGAGGTCCTGGATAATAGCGGGTACATCCTTTTGATTGCCGCTTGTGTCTTTTGGATGATATAGTTAGTGTTGGGCCTGAGACTCATACGAGTGTCCAACTTTACTCCCAGGTATTTCACAACGGTCGTGTCTGCCACCTCAACCCCTTTGACGGTCAAAGGTCTGTTCAGCGAGGTATTCTTACGTTGTTTATGGAAATTTATGACCTCGGTCTTTGTACTGTTTATACAGATCTTTGACTCGTCAAAGTACGGTATGATTCCTCTGTCCAGATGAATCTGGATCTGTGTCCTGGCGACATTCGAGTCGAATGAGTGAGCATAAATGGCCGTATCATCGGCATATAGTGCCGTACTCGTTCGCTCGAATACAGGGAAATCATGCGTGTATAAGGTGTATAATAGAGGTGAGAGGCAAGACCCCTGCGGAACTCCTGCCTCGAGTGGAAAATCTCCCGATATACTTTCGTTGACCTTGACCCGGATTTTCCTATTGGTGATATATGCATCGATAATCTTAATGATATAAATCGGCATATTAGCCTTATACAATTTGGACATTAGGCCCTCGTGCCAGACGGTGTCAAAGGCCTTTTCTATGTCCATCATGACCAGAACCGTGTTTTTGTCTTCGTTGTATGCTTCCTTCACCTCGTGAACAATTCGGGCCACTTGGGACACAGTGCTGTGTCCCTTGCGGAACCCGAACTGTTCCTTCGGAATGAGGTGTAGCTTATTCGTGTGATGTGTGATAAGTCGTAGGAGGACTTTATCCACGATCTTGGCTACCGCACTAAGCAGTGATATGGGGCGGTAGCCATTAGTGCAATTAAGATTTTTACCTGGTTTGGGTATTGGTACAACAAGCCCAGTTTTGAGGCATTCTGGGTAGTGCTGGTATTTTATCATTGCGTTGGTGATATAATGCAGTTGAACTACTGCTTTGCGTGACATGTTTTTTAAGAGAACCATGTCCAGCCCGTCAAGCCCTGGAGCTTTGTTGATGTTTAAATGTTTGATGATTTCTAATATTTCCTTTGGAGTGGTAATTGACTTGCCCAGGGCCTGCCTCGAGAGCAGGATGGTTGGCAATGCTCTTATGCGGGCCGCCGCCGCCACCATGTCCCTCTGGATCGCATTAATTGGTGTTTTATTTATTTTACTGATTTTTTGAAAGTGTCTCCCAAGCACTACCGCCTTCTCCGGATCTGACACCGCCTCCTCGTGACCGTACTCTATGGTTGGTATTGGTGTGAATTGCTTTTTTAGTCTTTTCGACATTTTCCACAGAGTATTGTCACGAGGGTCCAGGCTCTCCAATTTGGCTCTCCAGGAGGAGTTCCTGAGCTCTCTGATTCTGTATTCTATCTCGTTACAAATTCTATTGAAGGCGCCTCTGGCTTCCAGTGTTTTAAGCTGTTGCCAGCGACGCCTCAGAACTCTCTTTTCAGCAATGAGCTCAAGAATTTCCTCCGGGAGTTCGCCCTTATTGGAGTCAATGCTGATCTGTCTCGTGGTGGCATCTCTGGCTCCGGTTATATTTTTAATTAGTTTTCTCATTTCGTGGTCGATGTCTTCTATTTTGATGTTGTTGTTTATTGTGATGTTTTGGTCTAGGTGAGCCCTGAACATCTGCCAGTTCGTATTTTTATAGTCGTATATTTTTTTCTTGATCTCCGGTGGCTTTGTTCCGAATTCGAATAGAAATGGTAGATGGTCAGAGCTCAGCTCATCGACCACCTTCAGGTCAGAGATGTCCACCACGTTCTTGGACAGCACTATGTCTAGGACCGTCGGTGTCATTCCGTTGACGGGATAGTGCGTGGGAGTATCCGGGAAGTCTAGGTTAACATTGGCGGCCTGCAGATATGCCTTCATCCTGCTCCCGTTCTGGTTGTTCTGGACACGGTTCCCCCAATCCGCATGTCTCGCATTGAAATCCCCCCCTACAATAACTTTATTACCAGCACTAACCAGCGCCTCCAGATCCTGCTCGGTGAATCTGTTCCTGGGCCTGTTGTACACTGTGAAGATGATTTCCCCACTCTGTAGTCTCACCCCTGCATGTTCAATTGAACTTTGCCTTGGTGGGACCACTGAGTGGGGGATGTTATTTTTAATTAAAATGGCCACCCCCCCCCATCTATCTGCATTAGGCCTGTCTACCCTGATCGTGGTAAAGCCCCTTACTCTGAGGTTATGGTCATGACGGAGCTTGGTCTCGGACAAGAGCACAATGTCCAACTTGTGGCGGTATATAAAATTAACAAGTGACGGCATTTTGTTATTAACGCCGTTAATGTTAATTATACATACCTTAAGGCCGATTCGAACCATTAATATTATAGTTGCCGATAGTCTTAGAAAACCTAGTTACTATTTCTATTATTTCCCAGGGGTTAGACTCACCACCGATCGCGTTGTTCAGATCCCTCACGCACCTAAATACCTCAGAGAGATTAACTTTCTGCTCCAGGAGCTCGGTCTCGGCGGCGATGCTCGTTATGGCCTCGATTCCTCTGCCAACCCCAGGCCCACTCGGCCTAGTCGGAGGAGGGTGAGCTGGCGTCCTGTTTTCGCTATGTGTTGTCTGTGGTATGGTGGGCTGCCTGGCCTCTCTTTCTTTTTGTCTTCTCTCCCACGCGTTGGTGCTAGGGGGCGGGGCCGAGACATAGGTCCGTCCACCTGGTTGTCGGGTTTTATTCCTTCTTATAATTTCCAGCCTTTTGATGTATGTTTGGCATGAACTGTGGTTTGCCGGATGGGCTTCGCCACAGTTCACACACTTTGCAGGTTCCTGCTTAGGTAGCTTGCAGGCAGATGTGGGGTGTCCCCCAGCACACTTCAGGCACTTATAGTCCCTGTTGCAGTTGCTGGTGGCGTGACCCCACATCTGACAGCGCTTGCATTGGGTTACTTCCCGATTACTCCTTCTCAGCTCCCAAGTAATCCTGCAGGACAGTAGAGCCCTAACTCTATTATTCAGGAGCTGAAGAGTAATAATCGGGTCCACAACAACCAGGTAGAGAGGCCTAAATCTCGTGTTAAGCCTGTAGACCTCCTTGGCCTTGATTCCATAGTTGGATTCCATTTCTTCCAGTATCTCGGAGGGCTCAGGCTCAAAGTCCAGGCCCCTCAGCACAAACGCGTGGGTTTTCTCCTTCTTAAGTGAGTACGTATAGTATGGTACTTCGTCTTCTCTCAGCTTCCTTTTCACGTTCTCGAAGTCTTCTATACTCTCTGTATAGAGCATCGTTGAGTCTCCTCCGTATTTGAAATGGAAGGGCTTTGTGGTCAGAGTTTTGATCATGGGTATTATTTCCCGTCTATCCTTAAGGATGCCATCAAAAATGATTGGTGGAGGTTTCTCATTTTTGGTAGTTTGAGTTGATTGTACATTGGATGTGGATGGTTTCGGTTGTATTGTTTGTCCAGTGGGTTTATTTGCGTTTTTCTCACTTGCTTTCTTCCTGTCTGTGGTTTTCTTTCGTGTCACCTCTTCGTCGGATGAGTCGTCTGTCTCTTGATTGATCTCCTGTGGAGTTTCTTGGGTAGTGGTCTCAGTCTGTAGGGCTTGGAATCGGTTTTTCGTAGTGGTGGTGGTGGTGGTTTCGGTGCGTTTTACAAAAGCACCTGACCATCTCGTCACTTTCCTAGGTTTAGTGAAACCGTCCTTATCCTGCTTCTTGACCTTACTCCTCGTATTTTCTGCAGGGCCACTTATCTGCTCTATCAGAGCAACGCCTTGACCACTAGGCCAGTAATCGAATTGAATAATGTTATACATATCAAGTTCTTGTGAGAGCATTGTTCGAAATCGGATCATAAACACTTTTTGTTTCAAAATCCCCTTATATCTAATTGATGTTCGATACTCACATCTCTGAAATAATAAATGGTATTTATGTGTTGGGAAACATAGGAATATTCATGGAATATTTCATGAATATACTGCACAGAATATTCAGTTGGGTATATTTCCTGAATATACCGCACAGAATATTCAGTTGGGTATATTTCATGAATATACAACAGAGAATATTCAGTTGGGAATATTCCTGGAAGGTTCATACCTGAATATTCCCTGAACATGTCCGACTATTCACTTTGGAATATTCCATTTAGATGTTCCAGAGGCATGTATATATTCTAGGAATAATCTATGAATATTCGGAATATACTCCTCCTTTTTAGCATATTTAGAGAATATTCTATGAATATCCAGTGCTGTCTGGGTCCAGGACACAAGTTGACAAAATAAATCCTCAATACCCTTCTGAATAAGGGCATATTTTATGTTCATTGAAAGAACCATTATCCATTTTTCAAGTTTTACTGATTCTAGAAATATTTTATATTGGTAGGTATGTACATGGCTCGGTACATGGTCACCATGTTTATTTGTATCATCCTGAAAATCTTCAAACTTTACTTTCGATACTCTGTTATTTACGCCCGATTAATGGAATGTTTCATGAAAAAAGTGGTGCCTGTTTATCGTATCGAGATCGGGAAAAAATTGTGAATCATTCGATTACAGAACACTGTTCTGAGAACAGTGGACTATTGTCAGTATATCGTTTACTACGTATGTGTGTGTGTGTGAAGTGAAAACTGACTGTTAGATTATTTGAATTTGAATTTTTGATCATCGAAAAGTGTACCTACCCAAAGTGAGAAAAGGATGCCGGTGAGTTGATATCAATGCTTTCAGATCAAATTCGACACCAATTCTTATGGTTTTCATCTCGGTTTTCATATTTTTTGCTTGCCGATCTACAAGAGTTCTGGATCTTTTAAAAAAACTGATTTTTAGCTGGAAATTTCAATTTTTTTTCCCAAAATTTTGACTTCAGAGTGAAAAATTCACCGTTCATATCGAAATCTCCACTTCTATCTCGATTATTTCGACTTTTATCACCAAAATTCCTTTTTCCAAATTTCGAAATTTTATTCGAATGTGAATTTCTAGAACACAACATCGAGTTCAAAAATCTATTGGCCAATAATAGTAATCATACAGTCTAGTCAAAAGTCCCCTCCCCCCCTCGTATCTTTTGAACGGGTATACTTATAATAATGAAATTTGGAGGGTGGAAATAAACTATTGCGTCACCTGTTATGACCAGTTGAGAAGCCTACATCCGTTTATTCCCACCCTCCAAATTTCATTATTATAAGTATACCCGTTCAAAAGATACGAGGGGGGGAGGGGACTTTTGACTAGCACTGTATAATATGATTTCTATGGGTCTATATCAATTCTCTACAAATGCATAGAACTGCCACAGGCCTTTTTTTTCCTACGGCTTCAATACAAAATTGCTCCTCTGTTTTACTGTGTTCGATACATCATTGAGATACTTTGTATGGTATTATTATATACAGGGTGAATCATTGAGAATGGGAAATCTCTGAATTACAGATGGTAAATTCATTTTACTCGATTTTTTGGGATTTTCTCTCCTCGTTCCTATACAGTGTGTCCCACTTACCATGCTCACCATGGGTATCTTTTTAACGGTGAGAGATACGAGGTCGGTTAAATGACACCAAATGTGGAGTTTGTCAAGGCCAATTATAATGTGAAAAAATATTTTGACAGGTGTTCATAATTTCGGTGACAATACATTATGGAATTTTCAATTCATCAATGGATTGACATGAAAGATATGATGTAAATTATCGAAGTAACAAGAGTGCCACTAGCGCCCTCTATGAGCAATCACAAAATAAGTTGCAAATTCATATTCCTAATAATAATGTCAGAAAACCTAGAAATGCAAGATTTCATCTCTGGTAGTAGTCCATGCTCAAATTGGAGGTGATGAGATAATTAAGAGAACAAACTCAAAGTCTCGCTCCAAGTAAATTATAATAAAATCATATATGCTACATGTTTCGACTCCTAGGAGTCATCATCAGGCTAAAACACAACACTTATAAATGAAAGAAGTTCCATCACTATTGGAAAATGGGTGACATACCTTGCTAGGCAGGAGGTCAATTTTATAGTTTCTTTTCTCCTCCTACCTACCAAGGTATGTCACCCATTTTCCAATAGTGATGGAACTTCTTTCATTTATAAGTGTTGTATTTTAGCCTGATGATGACTCCTAGGAGTCGAAACATGTAGCATATATGATTTGATTACAATTTACTTGGAGTTTGTTCTCTTAATTATAGCAAGATTTCATGTTCATGCTGTTGAAACTAACAAACTTATTGTGAAATTTTGAAATAAAATCTTCCCCTAGAACACCCTGTATTTCCTAAACCAGCAAAGTTCTCATCAGGCATTTTGGGCTGAATCTCATTATATTTGTGTTTACTATCTGTTGTTCCGAGATATACAAGAGGAAATATGAATATAAGATTACCAAAACCAAGAATTCCAAAAACCATCTTCATTCAAATATCTCGCCATGAAATTTTTCATTATTATTCCAGACGAACTCAGAGGTCGATCTATGAGTTTACAGGAATTCAAGAATCGAGTCAAAATTATTCGAATTGGCGAAAGTTTTCACACATTCGATGAATATCTAGTATTTTTCTCACGTCGAAACTAAACTTCACTACCCCCTCCCCTCCCCAAAAAAAAAATCCACTGAAGTTATACTTTCTTCAATGGAACACCCTATATATTATTATTTCATTTTGAGATTCTCCTGGAATAGCTGATTTCAACGACCCATCTTACTTGGGGTCTGGCAGTAATAATTACTGAGATATATAGGGTGTGAAAAATCGAGATTTCCAAGTTCAGGAATTGTTTGTGTCGAAACTATTCATAATTGGTCAAAATAATTTACATATCCCTATCTCAATTTTTATTTACTATCTATATATTGGTATTTAATTAAAATAGATACAGGGTGGTCGAAAATCTTAATTCTGAATCACCCAGTATTTGTTTTAATCGAATATCAATTGATAGTGGATAAAAAGTTGAGATAGGGACATGTAAACCGTTTGGACCAATTATGGATAGTTTCGACACAAACAATTCTTGAACTTGGAAAATCTCGATTTTTCACACCCTATATCTCGGTGATTATTACTGCTAGACCCCAAGTATGATGGGTCGTCGAAATCAGCTCATCAGGGAGAATCTCAGAATGAAATTATATATAGGGTGTTCAATTGAAAAAAATATTAATTTCAGTGTTTTGCGGTTTTTGGGGACACCCTGTAAGTTTTGAAATAATTTCAAATGGTAGCCTATGTTGACATGCAACTCCCTAGAGAGAAAGAATTCCAAGAAGATGAGTGGTTAGTCTTCTAGAGACCGAGGCGTTACTGGGCTCTGGGCTTGATCGAATTATGGAAAAAATATGGGTCATTTCATATGAAAATGAATATTTTTTGTGAGCCACCCTGTGATTTGTTCATGTAAAGAAGAAGTAAGCACAGATTCAAGAAAATTCGTAAAACATTATTTCAGATAAGTCTATGAATGACCAAAATATGTTGAGAATTACAAGAATAAAGGGGGTGACTTATTTAAGTGGGACACCCTGTACAAGAAAGGAAATCATTGAATTTTTTGTTCAACATTCTATAAAATTCAAGAAGACTGATCACTTCAGAACAAAAATATGTGAGCGAATCTCCGATTTTTTCACAATAACCAAGGAAAGTGAATTGCTGTTTTTCGACCTGTTCGAGGTCTCAATTGTATGATGACAATTTGTTCTGAACCAGGAAATAAGATATTCTCGGGATTTGTTTTGTTTTCTCGGAAATAATTATTGGCTTCGAAAATTCGTTGAATTGTCAAACATTGAAATTTTCAATTCTTGGTTCGATATTCTGAAAAAATTCAAGATAGTAGAAGATCCGAACCTACATCGACCTTCACCGAGCTGATAATAGAACGAAATATATTTTATCATGAATTTAGTATATTAGAAAACATATTAAAAATGGGTTGGCTAAAAAAATCCTGGGCAGACTATTTTTAATTATTTTTCGAAAAATTATTTTTAATTAAATGTTGCAACATCAGGATAATAAAAAAATTGTGTCCTGACTGAAAGTATAAAACGTATAGAATGTGCAGCCGTTGGGTTGTCTACTATTTACCTGGGCGAACTACTGGGTTGTCAGGTAAACACAGGTATATCGATGCCAGTTACTTTCACCTGATTGGATAATTTAAAAAAATTTATATCATCATAAGCGCTGTTTAATTGCGAACACGTTGATATAGGGTTGTCTGCGAAAATTCCGGTCCTATTAGGGGTTTGCGAATTTTAAAGATTTTAATTTCAACGCGCGTGGAAGTGTGTGACAGAGAGATCCGAGGTAAGTATACTGTGTAATAATAAAGGACCCAACATCGCAGTCGCTTGTGATGGGACCCTGAATAGTAGAAAGTGTGCGAAGTGTGCGAAGTCAAATCCTGAAAACTATGGTTGGCATTTTGATGATTTCTTAAAACCAACAGGTTTTATCGGAGATCAAACTCCTTTGAAAATCCAAGACATTGTCGATCTCGATCACCAAAGTAGCATTTCGCGCTCTCGATACCTACAAAAATAACTATTTTCTACAAACGTCAAAAAATG